TCCTCCCTATGCCAGTGACAACCCTCTCCCTTGGCCATTTACCCCTCTCACCCCCCCTCCCGCAACCGTCCATTTCGCCTATTGCATCAAAACAAAATTCAATTAAGTTGATTGCAAATCGTTGCCGTCAAAATGAAGACGCAAAGAAAACAAAAGGAAATGGAATCGAGCTTGGAAGTCGAAATTACATGGAATATAGGCTCGTGAGTGGAAATCATAAGGTGAAATGCAGGAAATTCAGAGAGAAATACATAATTTGCATTCAACAACATAGGGGGCTTACATGGCGTATACGTAATATGGGTTTTAGGGAATTAAAAATATAAAAATTAAAAAAAAAAGAATAAAATTTATGATTTATATTTTTATAGATATTTTATTTAATAGACAAAACCATAAAATTAACTTTGAAATATCTGCAACTTTTTTTGTCACACATTGCGTATACGTAATATTTATGTCCCAGCTAGTTTAGCTTGTTTTTCCCTTAAATTTCAAAACATTTCACTCCAAAAGGGGTTATAAAAAAATAGTAAAAGGTATTAACATATTTTCCTTTAATTTTTATCAACAATATTTACTGTTAATTAAAGTTTTCAGCCTTTTTAGCCTGTGGCCTGGCTGTGACATCTATTGGCCAACTTTTCTTCTCCAAAGCGGCTAATTGGTATTGTCAGCAGCCAGTGTCACATATCCCACACAATATTACTAGTTTTTCGCACAACAATAATGCTATTTAATATTGAAAAAATATGTCAAACATATAATTTATATTTAATTTTTTGGTTTTTTTTTGTCACTGTCAATGATTTATTTAAAAGAGGGGTGAAACGTGGTTTTTTATCCACCTGCGTATGTAAAATATATATATATTAATTAATTTACAAAACATATGCAAGGATTTCAGAGCCTGACAATGGGGGAAGCCACAGTGTGTGGCATAAATGGAATTTTCGGGTTCATTTTCCACACGCATTGGTGGCTTAAATTGCACTTGATTTATGAATGAACCGAAAAAAAAATAGTGATAATAGTGAGTAATGGACAAGTGATACTTTTTAATCAGAAGAGGTATTGTTATTAATGCCTAGGGGGGATAATCCTGATTCTCTCTTAGAACAATCCTAAGCAATTGTTCTCTAATTGCTTTATTTTAGGTTTAATTGGTCGTTCTTGAAACACTCACTGTTAATCAACAGCTGTTAGCTAACAGCCATATGGGGGTGAGTAGTTGGCCAGGACCAGGGGGAAGGAGAAGAGTCACTTAGCCAAAGCGAATGTTTGGCTTGTTTTTGGGTTGTGTTTCCTTTGTTTTGTTTTGATTCGCCTTACCTCCTGCGACTGTTTGTCTATGTTTTCTTTTTAGCTCTCTTTTTTCCCCCATACCCCTCCATCTCTCCTGCCTGCCACTAATCTCTCGTGCTCTGTCTCTCTTTGGGCAAACCACCCACCCCACCCACCGGCAGGAACAGGGGAAAAAAGGACCCTTTTGTAAATTTTAATGGCAAATCTGCTGCCATTTGCGGCACATTTCGCGTACAATTTTCATTTTTGTTATGCCCACATATTTATTTTCATGGCTGGCCCTAGGTGGTTGGGTGGTGCTGGAATTCCTAGGGGGCGGGATGAGGATAGGCCTGCACTGGCTCAACTCCTACACTGAGAGAAATGACTCTAGTACTTCTAAATATATATTGAAAAATAATTTCTTTACTTTCTCGCTGTGCATATAACATTGCTAAAGGGGGGCCCACTTTTCATTTGTTTTGTTTATTTTGGCGTGAGCGTTACCAGCCACGAGAGCATGGGAGACATGGCCACCGACAATAAGCGAGTGAGTGAGCGAGCGAGAGAGTGGTGTGCCCAAGACAGCGAGTGTGAGTGAATGTGTATTGGAGCATGGCTGAGTGTGAGTGCGGTGGGGAGCCCGAGTCGCGAGCCGGCAAGAGGAGAATGAGAGAGAGAGAATTGCGATGGGGCCACTCTCCGTATTGTTGGTGCCTTTGCTGCCGCTGTTGCTGGCATGCCATTTCCCGTTATCAGTGGCAGACTTTCTGCCAACCTGCGGTCGCACGCTGTCTCTGCTGCTGCGCTGCCACTGCTCAACGGTGACGCCACAAATGCACAGTGGATATTTTAACTATTAAAGCTTATTATTATTCTTATAATAATTGGGAATTTGTATAAAACATTAATTTTAATGAGTTATTTCAATATTTTCCAAATATTAACTCATTTGGATTTAAATATAAATATTACGCATACGCCCCATTGTACATCTATTTGTGTCCCTCATTTTGGATTTTGTGCGCACGCCATAGCAGCTAATTTTGGATTTTCTAAGCGAGTCCGAATGAAATATTTTTAGCTAGGCAGCACTGCCACAGAGACCCAACAGCGACGCTGGCAGAACTAGCGACAGCGTCCCCAGCCAGCCACATGCAGATTTTTGCAATTGTTTGCCTTATTTGGCTGCTGACGTGATTTTGTTGTTGTTGTTGTTGTTGCTTCTGTATTTTTAGACCGTTGATTTATCATTCTCATTGCGTTTACGCTGCATTTGTGGCTAATCAGTTGCATGTCTCGCTTCCCCTCACTGCAGGTGAGTGTCTGCGTTCTCGCTTCCACTCAAGCATTGTTGCGGCGTGTAAATATGCATAAAGTGCAGATAAAACCGTAAGTTTAGCTGGGTAATTATAAGTACAACAGAGGTACTCGCCTATGACGGAATCCCAGGCTGGCATCATCTCGAAGGAATTTTATTTTGATAAAACGCTAGAGTATCATGAAAGCTATGATCATGGTTTACGTTACGTATACGCAGTGTAGGACAGCTGGGGAATGGAAGTGATTTTGTGACTCAATTTGGCTTGTTTGAAAGACCTGAAAATATCACTTCAAATGCAGCAATTAATTTTTCTCTCTGCATGGATTAATAATTGTGTCATTCGGGTAAACAAATCAATGTGTGTCTGCGAGGGGGAGTGGGAGAGGACTATACTCCACTCGCCATTCCCTACTTCTTCTTCTTCTTCGTCTGCTTATTATGAATTTTCATTTGCATTGCTTCTGTGGTTGTATTTTCTCAGCTTTTCCAACAATACTCTCCACCCCCACGAGTCCCCCCATTTGAAGTGTTTACATTCTGCGTTTGAATTATCGCTGTTTTATATGCTTCGCTTTGATTTTCTATTCACTTGTTGTTATTGCTTCTCCTCTGTCTGCTTTTACTTATTTTAAGCTAATTTTAGTATTTTAGCTTTCGTTTGCATTTCAATTTCAATTCAATTTGGAAAATGGTGCGGTGGTGGGGCCCAGGGCGTTTGCTTTTCTGGGCCTGGGGGACTGTACTTTTTTATTTTTAATTTCCAATTCGATTTAATTGTTGTTCTTCTTTTTTTTGATTTGTGTTGGCGCCCCTAGTCTTCTTTAAGATACAAAGATACTTTTAAGTATCTCTATCTATGTTTTGATTTTTCTGTTAATAGAGCTTAAGATTTTAGGGACCTCTGTTAAGGCTTAGCTTTGAAGATCCCTTCCTCTCCTGCTCTTACTCTCTCTCTTAGTTCTCACCTGCCCTCTCCACTCAGTTTGCCTTCAGAAAAGCCGTGTTTTGTTTACCTACTAGGTATGTATGTGTGTGTGTGTGTGAGTGTTTTGTTGTTGTTTGGCTTTCGCAATTGAAGCGCAGTTTCAGGCAACAGCTTTAAGGCTAAATACACCACAAAAAAAACACTCTACCTTTTTGTAATTTAAGAGTAATTGGTGATATATTCATGCCCGTTTTTAAATGGATTTAATATAAATTATAGCCATTTTTTCGCTCTACCTCTACGATACTCAGGCATGCGAAATCCCTTGAAGCGTTTCCAAGTTTTTTTCATTTTTTTTTATCCATTTTACTGGCTGCGCTTCGGTTTGTTTGATTTGGCTTGCTCACCTTCGGCACGCCAGCTGCGTCGATGTCGACGTCGACTGAAGCCGAGACTGAGGCGCAGCGTCTGTGACATGGAATCGGTTTGAAATTCGGTCTGAAGCGGCGGCTCGTGCTGTTTCATTTGAATGAGCACACGACGAAGTTAAGGCCTGAGTCCGATTCGGATTTGGATTTGGATTTGCCACACTGTTGTAGTGTGTAGAGTAGAGGCTGCCTAGAAAATTAGAAGCCTTTGGTTCCACTTTGCGAAATCTGCGAGAGGTTTAACCGATGGTTGCCACATCAGCTTGGCTAAAAGTACACTCGAAAAAAAAAGTAGTCTAGTCTGGAAGGGTCTGGAATTTTTCGCTTTTCATGGAGTCATTTATCACTGGCCTCTTTTGGAAATATTCCTGCTTCATGCCACATGCCGCGTACCTCTTCTGCCCTTCTTCTTCACCAGTTCTGCCCTTCATTTCCACCCCACCCCCCATAAATTTGGTATTAAATATTTGCCATAGAATTCGTCGGCGATTTGGATGTTGCGCCTTTGCATTAGCGGCCCAAAATGTTGTCTGTTTATCTCGCTAGTTATTGTTGGCTGGCCATAGGTGGTGTTTCCAGCACGGGGGGTGACGCTCGACTGAGAGTAGGGAGTGGGTGGATGGGTGGGTGGTGCGACTCTGTGTTTGGTGGTTGCAAACTTCTGTGGCATTGCCAGTTGATTGGATTGCCATGAGATGAGCTCAGTCGGGGGAGTGTGAGTGGGGCAAGTGATTTATGAGTCCCCCGTGCTGATATGGGATATGTGATATACATATACATACAATAGATACAATGTCATTAACGCCCTGATCCAAACTCTGGCAGTGCTATATATTGTGTGAGACTGGTTTTGGAAAGATGGAAAATAAAGAATAGTAGGCTTTGAAAAATAAACAAGGCCTAAACACCCAAACACTTCAAATACTGGCAAGTTACGAAATTTCCGTTGAAAAGTTTTGCTTTAAAAAAAATCCTTTTAAGTATAAGGACCATTGAAAGGATTAAACCGCATGGAAAGAGGAAGAAGGAGAAAGGAAAAACGTATCAGGATGCACCAGCAGGCAGAGACGATATTCACGTGCGGCTTCGAGATCTTCGGGAGAGTCCAGGGGGTGCGGCTGCGCAAACAGACCCTAGAACTGGCCACCGTTAATCAGGTGCGCGGTTGGGTGATGAACACCGACAAGGGCACGGTCAAGGGTCAGCTGGAGGGCACCCTGCAGAAGGTCAATGAACTCAAGTTCTGGCTCCTTAACTGTGGCAGTCCCCGTGCCATAATCGAACGGGCCGAGTTCACACCAACGAAGGAGATCGTCACCCATACGTTTAGTGGATTCTCGATCCGTTATCATCATGCTCCTGTCTAGCTTTCTTCCAAATCTTAGATGTGTAATTGCTTGTTTGGAACTTCAAAATTGTGTCGTCAATAGAAACTGCGGATATCATTTGTAAAACCTCAAAAATAAAAAAAAAGCTAGCCAGCCAGTCACTAATTAAGCTGCACAAAGAAATTTTCAATGCAATTACATACGGGTTATAATGTACATCTGTACATAGTTTATATAGTATATAGATTTGTGTGCAAGATGACTTGGTGGGTCTGGCACCTGCAGCCTTAGCTTGGCCACATTTCCAGTTGAGCGACGCGACGCCCCAAACTGGCAATGAGTTTTTATTTTACGACAGCAGCAGCAACAGTCCGGTGCCCATACTATAAATGCCCGCTTTTAAGAAATTCGCTGGGGAATCATCTTTAGATTTCAATTCCTAGGGTTTGCATAGATTTTGAAAAACAATTGTTTCTGAAAAGCCCCTTAAAAGTCTGATGTTAACCAGAAACAGTATCAGTATCGGTTCTTATCACTTGTGCTGCCAGCTGGCTTTCGGGGCGAGAGTCGTCCCCATATCCAGTTGTGGCGACCGGCCCTCGTTGTTCTCGGCAATGCCCTCCATGGGTCGCTGACTACAGCGCTGTCGCAGTCGCTGCCTCTGCTTCAGTCGCTGTCTCTGCTTCAGTCGCTGCCTCTGTCGGCGATACATTGCGCATAATCACAACAAAATCAAACAAATGAACGCCACCAGTACATTACACTGAAGTTGAAGTTGATTTTTAATTTTTAAAAAAATATTAAAAATTTTATAAATAAGAGATTTCTAAGAAATTAAAGCTCTTTAAAAGTTTACAGTTAACAGTTATTGCAACTCTTAAATCACCTCCAGCTTCCTAAGAGATAAAATCATCAACCTGACTGTTGATTTTCCGTTTTTCCTTTTTCCCCAATTATGCTCCAAGTGTGTGTTGGTGTGTGTGTGGTGTGTGTCGGTGTGGACTAGTGTTGGCAACTTCGTTGCGTGTGTAACAGGCGCTCAGATTTTCCGGAGAGAGAATAGCAGCGTTCTTTGTGTTCCCATTAGTTGTTGTTCTTGCAACATCAGTAGCAGCAGCACTTCTTGTTGTTGTTGTTGTGGTTGCGGAATTTTTATAGGTTAAGCTGCACACACAATGACGGCAACGGGCAAAAAAAAGGGGAGGCTGTGTGGTGTGGCCAGTGCGGAGGGTTGTTGGTGGAACTTAACTAGTTTCAGCCGGCCGGTGTCGTTGCCTTCAAAAAGCGACTACAAGAACGAGATGTATAGAGAATCCACTCGTTTTGGCTCTCTGACTCAATTTTGAGTGATTCCTGGCAAGCGACCACCTGCCCTGCCCCCTACTTTTGGCCAAAAGCAGGCTACCAACCACCCACCCCCCTTGCCTCCAGTCCGAGCATTCCTTTGCGCATTCCGCCACGCGTCTCTGTCATCGTCGCAGTCGACGTCGCTGCCCGCTTCCGGTGTCACTTCCTTATTTAGTTGTTTATGTTGTTTGTTGTGTATTTTTTTGGGAGGGAGAGGGTCCCCTCGAGTGTCCTTGTAGGCTCAACCTAATTTAACAGCCATCAGACTTTTGTGGCAAGGAATTCAATTTCCCTGAAAGCTTAAACCCCACTTTCTGCCGACGATCATTAGCCGGATTATTATTAGTCTATTAGTGGTAATAAAATTTATGGCACAAATACAAATTGAGGGAAAAGTTTCATGACGCCGAAATGGAAATTGAAAATGCGATGGACGTTGTAGCGGTGGCAAGAGTGGGGAAGTGGGGCAAGACAGGTTGTCGCGGCATACATAAATGCAAACACTTTGTGCAAATATTTGTGTCATTAAACAAATGACAAACGAATTGGTTTTAGCACGAAGGAGGAGACTCACTAAGAGAGAGTCAGCGAGAGAGAGAGCAGCTGACATGCAACATGCCTAACAGCAGTACTAGCTTATCAACAGTCAAATGTTAAGTTTAACAGTAACAGTAACACCCCCAATCCTCCACTCTCACAGATACTCACTCACTGAGTAACACACACACACACACACACATGGACTCACTCAACGCAACGCTGCAACAATGCAAAAAAGCAAACTTTCACGCTGTCGGCGTCGCTGTTGCTGTTGCTGCTTTCGCTGCTGCTGCTAGTGCTGGCGTATCTCGTCGGGTCGTTTGGATTTCGCTGACAGCGGCTCGTGCCAGTACTCAACCGACTGCCAAACGGCGCACGACAAAGCACCGAGCAGCAGCATTAAATAGCAGCTGAGGCAACAATACCAACAGCAACACCACCATCCACAGCAGAAGCAGCAGCAGCACCACCAAGCAGCAGTAATAGCCGCACGGCAATAGCAACAGCAACACAAGCAAAAGAAAAGCTACCCACGACGACGCTCGGTGTGTGCGTTGTTTTTTTTGTTTGTTTGCGGTTCGTTCCCTCAGCGATAAAAAAAAAAAAAAAAAAATCACAAAAAACACAAAAGCAACAGCAGCAGCAACACCAGCAACATAAAAGTGACAAAATAACAAAAAGCCAACCAAACAAAATGAAAACATATAAAAAATGCACTTAAACTTTGAAGAAATATTACTACGAATAGAGTTATAAAGTGTGGCAGTGCTTGCAATAAAAAAAATAAATAATATTACTCATAAAACTAAACAAAAAATAAAAGTGAAAATATATACAATATTATTTTGAAGCAATAAATGGTTTGTAAACAAATATAACCATTAAATCTTATCAAAAATTAGTGATGATTTTCATTCGAAAAACAGACCACATTGTGGATAAAGTTTCAAACTAAAAAAAAGTGAATCACTAAGATGAATCTCAAGTTTAAATATTTTATTCTTTGAATTTTTAATACATTTCATCTATAAATCATGAGAAAAAGACTTTTCTCTATTTTCCAATTTTCCTATTTTGTTTATTTGACATTTGTGTTGGTTTTTCTTTAGTTTTTTTTCGGTCTCACCCTCCTCTTGTGCGGGAAATTATGCATAACAGATGCAGATTTATTATGTGGAGGCTCTAAGACCTCTCTAGACTCTATAAGACTCACGTAAGTCGTGTAATGGCAAAAATTAAAAATCATAAATCAAAAAGGCGAAATAAATCAGCAAGAAAATTGAGCATAAAGTGCCTGTGCCAGTGTGGCTGTTTGTATTTCTGACAGATTCTGGCAAATGGCGACCATCAACAACCGTTAGAAGTTAATTCGTTGAAAAGATAAACTAATAGAGTGATAGTGTCTAAAAAAAATAGAAAAGGCCAGTTAAGATCCAATCCGATCCCTCATGCCCTCACCAGAAAGTGGGGCATGCTCACAAATCCATGAAGTAGAACACGTTTGGAACTGTATATATGCACTTGCACATATTTATAAATAAAAGTGCATGAGACTTTACTGCACTTGCTGCATAGATATATATATCATAATGTATATATGTTTATTATAATCAGATCTATTTTTGCTTTTTGGTGGAAACAATTGGAGTGATTAACGGTTTTTGAATTATGCTAATTTTTGTGGTAAATGCTAGAGAGAAAGGCTTTCATTTGGTTTTTAATTTTAAATGGATTTTCAAAAAAAGATTAGATAAACGAGAGGATATTAGGTTATATTTTTAGATAATTGAATTAAAAATAGGTTCACAATTAAAGAGATATTTTTTTTAAGTGTATCTAATTGAATGGTGAGAGACAAAACAACAAAAATCTGAAACAAAAACAATAGCCATGGCAGTCGAGCGAGCAACAAGCCAAGAAATCTTGGAAATCAAGCTGCTTCTGGGCTCTGCCAAAGCCGCTGCCTCTGCCTCTGCCACTGCCTCTGCCCGCGTCTGCAACTACATTAATCTTACTTTTATTGCTTTTCAGTTGTTACTGGTTGCTTAATTAATTTTTGACAAACATTATTTCCCAAAATGAGTTAAATGACTTGAATTATGATTTATATTTTTCAAAAAAAAAAAAATACTTAATAGGATGGAAAATGTATAGAGAGGAAGGACGAAAGCAGGAAAAAAATAGAACAGAGGGTGGCGCTAGCAAGGGGCTCTAAACAAGGCCAAAATATTACGCATACGCCATGTGTGCGAGCGCGAGGCTATTGAGGAAAAAAATAAACTGCGAAATGGGACGAAGAAATGGCATAAAAAATAGCCAGGAATTAATTGGAGGCACAGCTACGGTAGTTGGCTATGAGGAAGGGGTGTGCTGGGGGGTGGTGCTTTCTATAGGGGGCTTTCAGGTATACCTGACACTTGAGCAACCGTTTTGAGTTACACTTTTAATTAATTGTTGTGAATAAATGATGGTGTGCTTGGAAAAAGAGCACAAATAATTGAGAAAAGTGAAAAAAATCAACTTCCTCAATGTATTAAGCTATAAAAGCCTCTCTTATCCTGTTATCCTTTTTTTGTGAGACATCTATTTGTTGCCAAATGTTTTGCATTCCTTTGCCAAGGCTAGAATTCCTGCCTTTAATCTTACTTATTACTCCTTTAATAAGCTTTTGGGCCATGTCCATGGAGACCTCTCCTCCACCCCTCTCTTATCAGCACCTATATAGAAGAAGTCCAGCTAGTCCAAACAACACGAACTCGTTGCGAAGTCTCTTCGCTTTCCACGAAATATTTGTTGTTGTTGTTGGGGACTAGACGATTTCCGTTTTGGGGCTAGCTGGGGCTTCTATATTACTATATTTCTTTTTTTCTTTAGTTTTTTTTTTCTCTGTGCTGTTGAGTGGCCGAGAGTGTCGGGGCTTGGATTCGCCGCTAATTCGCATTAATCATACGACGCGTTGGACGCGAGCTCTCTTTTGTTTATGCATTGGAATCATGAAAAACAAAAATGAAATTCATCCGAAAAACAGAAAAAAAAAAAAAATAGAGCACCAAGCGGGTCCGGGTAGGAAATAAGCTTTTCCACATTTTTATTTTTACACGCAAAAATATATTACTGACTCTCTGAGGTTGTAGACTACTCACTCGATATGGCGGGTAGTGACGTCTTCTTACTCATGCTTGCTATTGTTTTTGGGTTGTATTTGTTGTTGTTGTTGTTGGTTGTTGTTGCTTATTTTTAATGTGTCAAGGTTCGCGGCATAATTTCTGTTGCTTTTATTTCATTTGCGGGTTAAAGCAAACAGAGAATATCTCAAGAGGGGAGGCAGAGTGACAGAAAGCAGAGATAGAGAAAGAGACAGAGATGGAAAATACAGAAGACTTTCTTTTTGGCCAAAAATTAACAATTATGGTATAAGGTTTAAGAAAGATATAGGAAATGGTTGAGTTTTTGGAGAGAAATTAAAGTTATAGTGCTTGGTTCCTAGTCCTTCTTTGAGGGATAATACCCTTAACTTACTTTAGACGGTATTAGGAGAAATATAACATAGTCTGATATACCCTTCTTCTCCGGGTCTTTCCAAAAATACACTTAACCTTCCATACTTTTAAAAGGTAATACTAAATGGAAGAGTTTTAAGAATATAAATATATATTTTTTTAATTTTTTCGAAAAGTTTAGCCTTAGTTTTGAACCCTGACTGACTAGTCCACCTTTCCGATAATACCCTTGACTTACCCCCCGACAGTATCAGACAGTAACCCCCCCACCAAGAAAGTTATTAAGCTCCACCACCACCACTACCAGCAGAAGGACATAAAAAGACAGCCAGGACGAAGGCGAAGATGAGGACGTCGAAGGAGACGCATCGATAAATGTAAATGCAGTAAACGCTAAGAAAAGGAGGAAAAGAAGGCAAAAGGAGGAAGGAGACTAGAAGGGAAAGGGAAGACTATAGAAGGCCAAAAGGGTACACGGCTATGCTATAGTTATAGTTATAGGTAAGAGGTAGGAGCTAAGAGAGAGGGTATTGTGGGGGTGGTATAGCCCCTCCCCTCTCAGTACAGAGAGGGCAAAACACATTTTTATTACCGCTGTGGAGTCGTAAAAAACTAAATTACTTTTAAGTTTGTAAATTGTGCTAGCTATTCGCCCCATCTCATTTTGGCACGGCTGGGCAGGCACCTACCTATGTATCTCTGTCTCTGTCTCTGTGTATAACCCCTTTCCTGGTCAACGCAAGTTTGCATTCTTTGTGTCACGTTTCCATCGAGAGATACCGAAAAACACACAGTTACAGATAGAAAACCCAGATACAGATACGTTACGGATTTCGGATTCCGCTAGAAAGAGATACACTGATGGGGAGCCAAAGGAGACAGCATGATCGATGCTGGTGGCAGGCAGAGGCGCAGGGAAAACACACAAATTTATGAAACGTCATTTATTCATAATGAGGGGGGTGGGGAGTGGAGGAAAAGTGTTGGCGCGTGTATCGAAAAAAGGGGAGAGGATGGGAGGGGAGAGGAAAAGACAGTCGAGATGGCCGAAAGCGAGCGGGCCAATTGTGTGTGCACTGCATTTCGAGTGTTGTAAAGTGCCATAAACTTATTAGGCGAAAGTGTTTTGAGTGTTTTGTGTGTCAGTGTGAGTGTGAGTGTGTGTGTGATTCGATTTGTTATTCATTTCGAGGATAGTTTTCCAATTAGGCACTGCGGTTGTGAGGAGAGGCTATCGATGGAGCATTCAAGGGGTATCTTTAGAGATGGTTAGACCCTTGAAAGTTTAGTTTGCTGAATAGATCGCGAGTTGATGACTCTCATTATGGTACATTCTTTTATTTCGAGAATCAAGTGCCACAAACGAGTCACTTGTGGTTAACCAAAGTTGCATTTCGCAACTTTCCGCCACTTGCAACACAGAATATCAGACTCTCGGAGTTACAAGTCCCTCAGTTTCTTCTACTTCTTAACAGAAGTACTATATGTACATACATACATATGTATATAGTATGTGGTATGGGGGCCGGTGGCATGGCCATACTCTCATAGATACACACGCACACCTCGCGACCCCACTCACATGTGTCATTGTGTCGGTTGCTGCTGGTTGCTGCGCCTATTCGCGGCTATTTTGTATACATTTTGCATTAATTAAAAACAAAATAAACAGCCTGAGCATGGAGCATGGAAATAAAAACTGAAAAGAAAACACATTCTGATTTAAATGTGATTGTTTTCTTGCCTTTTTTTTTAGAGCTCGCCCTCGTCTTCTGTAAGTTGAAATAATTCAAAGGTGTTTTCTGGTTATTTTCGACTATTTGTATACCTGGGAAATAATTATTTTATCAGCTGGAAATGTTAAAGATAATATATCTATGAGTTTGTTTAGGTTTTGATTCATTGGATGGGATTTATCGATTAATTATTTAAATTTTTATAACCTCTCATATTAGTTAATATACCCTTTCTAATGAGTATCAAAAGCAATGCTTTTCTGAAGTAAAGCAGAACAGAAACAAAAACAAAAACAAAATCACAAAAAAAAAAAACAAAAACAGAAGCAAAAGCAGAACCAAACACACACTCATGTACTGGTTCTGCTGCCGACGCTGACTTTGCTGCCAGGTCTCTCTGCCACTGATTAGAAGTGTCTTTGCCTTTTATGTTATTGTTTCTGCTTCTTTCTACCTCGATTGTATTTTTTATGTATTTTTTTTTTTATTTTTTTGTTATTTTAATTTTTTTTTTTCCATTGCCTCTGTGCACTTGCGATTTTCATAAAATTTCGCTACGGCTTTTCAATAATTTGTGCACGTCTTGCAAGTGAATTTCTTTCGATTGCTCTTGCAAAGTCAGCGATTGTGTTGCTGGTTTGCTGGTTGCCCATTGTTGTTGACTGCTAATCGAATCGTGCGGCTCTTAAATGTACAATATACATATACGGATGGTATATATGTACATGCAGATAATTTATGTGCAATTTCTTACTTCTTACTGTATGTGCCACACAGCTGAACAAATCAAATTTCAATCAAAAGAACAAAAGATTGTGGGTAGAAAAGTGTGTAAGCCACAAGAAACAACAAAAAAAAAAAAAGATAAAGAAAAAGAAAGTAAAACCAACGAAAAATCAAAAGCCAAATGCTCCCGCGAAGCAAACGCAACAAAATGCAAAACTATCGACGCTGCAGCACACTGTCACTGTCGATACTATCACTATACAACACTGGACGGAAGAGTTCACCCTATCGAACGGAAGCTTAAAATTTTAAACAATTCCTCGAAATCTGAATCTTAAAAAAAGAAAACTCTAAGTGTATGGAAAAGTATCTCTAAATTCTACGACACTTGACACGACATTTAATGTCTGTATTACTTAATAACTATAACTAAACTTTGTCTAAACGAGAAAATCTATAAAAGAATTATCTATGAATATTTGGGTAAGATATTGTAGTGATAAGATTTATAATATACATATATTTAGCTAATATCTTAAAAATATATTTTTTATAATTAATATTTAATTAAATTTCATCTTATTATTTTTTTTTTTAATTTTAGCAACAAAAATTCCTGAAACGACCCGCGGAGGATGTTGACAATGGCGCTGACAACTATGAACCGCCGCATAAATTGCCCAATAACAACAACAATAGCAATAATAACAACAACAATGGCAATAATGCCAACAATGGCAATGCCCAGAATAGTAATCCCAATAACGGCGGCAACCCCAACAACAACAACAACACCAATAACACTGGCAACAACACGAACAGCAACAACAACGGCTCTGAAAATCTAACCAAGTTCTCGGTGGAAATCGTCCAGCAGCTGGAGTTCACCACATCGGCGGCCAATTCGCAGCCGCAGCAGATCAGCACGAATGTTACTGTAAAGGCGTTGACCAACACTTCGGTGAAGAGCGAACCAGGTGTGGGCGGCGGCGGCGGTGGTGGTGGAGGCGGCGGAGGGGGCGGAGGAGGAGGCGGTGGCGGCGGCAACGGCAGCGGCAACAATAACGGTGGTAACAACAACGCAGGCGGCAATAACAGCGGCGTCGGCGTCGGTGGCGATCATCATCAGCAGCAGCAACAAGGCGGCGGTCTGGGTGGCCTTGGCAATAATGGGCGGGGCGGAGGACCCGGCGGCATGGCCACGGGTCCCGGGGGCGTCGGTGTCGGCCTAGGGGTGGGTGGTGGCGGCCTCGGCGGCATGGGCATGCCACCGCACATGATGTCCGCCCAGCAGAAGTCGGCGCTGGGGAATCTGGCCAACTTGGTGGAGTGCAAGCGGGAGCCGGATCACGATTTCCCGGACCTGGGCTCCCTGGACAAGGACGGTGCCGGTGGACAGTTCCCTGGGTTCCCCGATCTGCTCGGGGATGACAACTCGGAGAACAATGACACCTTCAAGGATCTCATCAGCAACCTGCAGGACTTCAATCCGAGTTTCCTCGACGGCTTCGATGAGAAGCCATTGCTGGACATCAAAACGGAGGACGGCATCAAGGTGGAGCCGCCCAATGCCCAGGATCTGATCAATAGCCTGAACGTCAAGTCGGAGGGCGGTCTGGGACATGGCTTCGGTGGCTTCAACCTGGGCCTGGACAATCCGGGCATGAAGATGCGCGGCAACCAGGGCGGCTTCCCTAACGGTCCGAATGGTCCTGCCGTGGCCGGAGGCGGTGGTGGCGGTGTAGGCGGCGGCGGGGGCGGAGGCGTGGCCCCCAATGCTGGCGCTGGCAATGGAAATGCCGGGAATCTCATGTCGGATCATCCGCTGGCAGCTCAGACTTTGAAGCAAATGGCCGAGCAGCACCAGCACAAGAATGCCATGGGTGGCATGGGCGGCTTCCCCCGCCCGCCCCACGGCATGAATCTGCAACAGCAGCAGCAGCAACAGGCCCAGCAGCAGCAGGCGCAGCAGCAGCACGGCCAGATGATGGGTCAGGGTCAGCCGGGACGTTACAACGACTATGGCGGTGGCTTTCCCAATGACTTTAGCCTGGGTCCCAATGGACCGCAGCAGCAGCAGCAACAGCAACAACAGCAGCAGCCGCAGCAGCAGCATCTGCCGCCGCAGTTCCACCAAAAGGGTCCTGGCCCAGGTCCTGGGGCTGGTATGCAACAGAACTTCCTGGACATCAAGCAGGAGCTCTTCTATTCCTCACAGAACGATTTCGATCTCAAGCGCATGCAGCAGCAGCAGGCCATGCAACAGCAGCAACAGCAACACCACCAGCAGCAGCAGTCCAAGATGGGTGGAGTGCCCAACTTCAACAAGCAGCAGCAGCAGCAACAGGTGCCGCAGCAGCAACTGCAACAGCAACAGCAACAATACTCGCCCTTTTCCAACCAGAACTCTAATCCTGCCGCCAATTTCCTGAATTGCCCGCCCAGGGGCGGTCCCAACGGGGGCCAGCAGCCGGGCAACATGCCGCAGCAGCAGCAACAGCAACAGCCCGGCGGCGGGCCGCAGCAACAACAGCAGCGCGGCAATGCCGGCAATGGGCCTCCAAATAATCCTAATAATGGAGGTCCCGGCGGCAACTCCAACAACCCCACGCAGCAGCAGCAACAACAACAACAACAGCAGGCCACAACAACAACACTGCAGATGAAACAGACGCAACAATTGCACATTAGCCAGCAGGGAGGAGGAGCCCATGGCATCCAGGTGAGTCCTTTTTTTTCCCTATTGGGGGGGGGGTTAGATCCTTAAAAAGCCCAGTCAAAGACACTCAATCCCCGAAACGATGGAGCTTATCCAATAACATAACGCTACTTAATGCCATTGACACGTATGTAAATTTCCATGCATATTTAAGTTATCATCGTAACGAAGTCAACAGCTTTTCATGAAAATCCCGAGCAACCGGAAAAGCTTCTCCCCCACCCCCCAAAAAAAGGGGGTGACTGAGTGACTAACTGAGTGGAAAACACAAGCCAAGTTTCCACTCACTCGCCTTTTTATTTATTTTTTGTTACAAACGGATCATAAATCATGTTGAGCAAACAAGGGCTTTTTTCTTTCTCACCCTGCTCACTCTCTTTCTCTTTCCGGGAGAGTGCTTTCTCTCGTCCAGTTGAGTGGGTGTCCCACTCTCTCTCGCTTTCTCTTGTACTCTCTGAGTGTGGTTTAACCCTCGTTTCTCGAGTCGAGTTTATCTCTGTCCATTAATTTTCACCGCACATCTGTTCATAAAATTGCTCGGCGACCTGGTGCTCGGCTTCAGTGAGTCCTCGGCAGCGAACGCGAGTCCTGGCGACGCAATTCCACCCACTCTAGCGTCCCTTTCTCTTCTCTTCCTCTTCCTCTGCCAGGAAAAAATTTCAACGAGTTCCTTGTGCGCCATTTTCATTACGTGAGCGACAGACAACTGAAACGAAAAAGACGCCACGGCCTGCAAAAAAAAAATGGAAGATTGAGCTTGGGTTTCTGTTGCGCTCCTACGCCATTTTCTTGGCTGCTGAAGGGGTGCCACACACCACACACACACAAAAAAAAAGGACAATTCGAATATTCAGCTTTCGTTTGAGGCCAAGGCTTCAACTGCAAGATATGGAAGGCAAAAAGAACTAAGAATATAGAAGCCATAAAAGATCTCTTTAGGAAATTGCTAAAGAAGCGAGATATTTTGGAATATTTAAGGAATATTAACCAAAAAAGCACCACCACCCCTATTATTTTTCCCTATTTATTATGCATTCAGAATCGTGATTGCATTTTTGGCATCAGCCCCCAAGTGCATGGCGCTACATTTTAGCCAACTTTTCGTAATCACTCATTCATATAGTAATGCATTCATCACTTCATAGCTTTACCCCTTCCTATCTCCATTTTCCGGCTATTTTTTTTTTTTGCTCAAACGAAGTAGGGAATCGCTTTCACAAAAGCAATATTCCCTTGCCACCCACCCACCCATCTCTATCACACACACACATCACTAACACTAATATGCACTAAACCTAACCCATATTCATTATCCGCTCCAAATTGTTTTCCTGTTATTTTGCAACAACAACAACAAAAACAACTATAGCAGTAGCTACAAAAACAAGAACATTTCATTTACAAAATGAAAGTGCAAAACTTTTTAAGTTAAGTTTCATGTCGCTGAGTAGTTTTCATCAGAAAACAGCCAAAAAAAAAAAAAAGGACATAAAAGAGAGAAACGAGTAAAAGGGAGACACGGATAGACAAAAAAGAGGAATGGAGGGGGCAGCACTAGGAGGTCCTGGTTTTGGCCGCCTGGTCGAAAAAGGACACGGCAATGCTGGCAACGCTTTTGGCCAGCTTTTCGGTCCTGGGCGCATTCAGCTCAAGTTTTGCCATGAATTTTGTTCATGCATTAACCCTCGGCAGCCTGAGACTTTCCGCTTCCACAAGCCCACTCCAAATACACTTGGAGAAAAGTTTACAACTTTTGAAATAAAATTTATTAAAGCAATAGAGGGCTTTTTGAAGAATTTGGAAGAAAGATCTTAAACTTTTTTAATTAATTTAAACTTTTTTAATATTTTTTTTTTTTTAGTGTATAGCAAAATAGTTGAAGCAAGTTAAAAGTGGTAGTGGTCAGTGGGTTAAGGTGGTGGGGGTATAAAACTTGTTGACGATTGAGATTGAAATTTTTCGGGTTTATTATAATTTTTATTTTTTTTTTCACTGCCCGCTGGCCACTCAGCCTAGTACTTTAATCCTACACACCCTCGAGGTGTAGTTTCCCCTCTGAGAATTCCCCCTTTTTTTCGATCAAAGCCTCAAGTTGTCCTTAAGAATCCTTTGGCTCGCTTATCGGGCCAAGACACAACACGTATACACACTTAAGTCTAACGATATATTTGCATAGGACTCATTAAAAATGCCCCCCGCGCAGGCGAGCCGCCAGGACAACGAGGGTTGCAAAAAGCCAAAAACAGCATCCCATTCCTGCCAGGCTTTCCCAGCTCAATAATATCTCAAAAAAAAAAAAAATAAGAGAATGGGTGGTTAGAGAGTGTGGAAAACCACTTAAGTGCATGAAAAGCGAAAAGTGTAAAATTTTATAATAAATATGACAGAGAGAGAGCGGTCAGGATGCTTCCTGTAATTTATTAAAAGAAGGAGAGGAAGGACCAAAAAAAAAATATAACAAATTTTACTAATAGCTTGTTGAAAAACTAGGAAATTAATAACAAGGACCTTTCTTTCTTTTTTTTTTTAACATTTTTCTGAAATAACTCTTTTGAGAAGACAAGGGCTTGGTTTTATGTTAAAGAGCTCCTTTAAAATTGATACGTTCCACAAGGGTTTACATTGTTTTATGAAAATGGATATATATATACATATATACAATATATATAACCAAAGCAACCAGCCAGGCAACAGCCAGGATGGCCCGGCTAAAGTTCAATGAATTCAAAATGTTGGCCATTTTGCATGTCCTGCATTAACTCGTTAAAATGCCACAGCAACAAAAGGCTAAACTGTAGTTCTGTAGCAACCAACAACCAACAAAATTTGTATAAAATACAATAACAAAAATGTATAAACACACACACACACAGAGGTCCTTCCTATATGGCTAGAGGACTATAGGACTGGTCGATCCGCAGCCGAAAACGTCATCAAAATGCCAGGGCGCACAAAAGTATGCAGCGGAAATGTGCAAAACGTGAAAATGTGCGGAAATTATACTTGCCAGGGACCTCAAATGGTGGGGCGAAACACCAAGCGAGAGACCATAGTCAGAGAATAAAAGGGGGGGGTGGAGGGTCATATCAGATTTTATGACTTGGCCCGGGCGACTTAATGAAGTTAGCCAGAAATGTGAGACACATGCGACCCGAACCGAACGGAACTCCATCTCAAGTCATAGCTTTGTATCCAAAAACAATAAATAATTTATAACCCCGCGAAACTGAATTGAATGAGTGGAGATCCTAGGCAGAATTCAAAGTACATTTAATGAGTGAGGGGGGGAATATACATATTGTGCGCAGGCGCCAAGGCAATAAAAATAAATCCCCAAAATTCCAGGAGATTTCCCTGGAACTCTTCACATAACTCGCCTTCTCGGGGATTACAGTCCCGGGCATGGATTCCATAATACTTGTATCTCGTATAAACGAATTAACCGCTATAAATTCAACGCCCCCGCACCCCTCTCCACCCCCCCAAAAAAAGAAGAGGAAAGTTTAGCTTTAACATCATGGTGGAGGAGTAAAGGAATAAACCTATTTATGAACACAAAACTTTTACGGGAAACAGCAACAAAGGAAGCATGAAATTTTGTTGCTCTTTCATAATTTAACGCATTTTCTGGTTGTTGTTTTTTTGATACACAGAGAGAAATTAAAGAGGAATTTATATATTTTAAATATTTAACAAGGAAAAAGTAAGAGTTGTTAGGATTTTTAGGGGGTTGGAGATTGTTATTTTAATGTTTTTAAAGAAAATGTTTATAATGTAGTATCTATGGGTTGAATTAAAAGAGTTTCAAGTTTAAAAAATACTCTTATATCTTTAAAATATTTTATATTTTTATTGAGAGAGGTTATTAGAGATTTAGATCTTCCATATATGTTTATGGATTATAAGATCATTAAATCTTATAACATTTCCGTTTCTTATTAAAAGTATGTATTATAGTATCTGAAGATCGAACTAAAGGGGTTTTAAGTTTATAAAATAGTATTATATCTTTAGTATTATATATATACTAAAGGGGTAACATATACACCTATTTCATATTTGTTAGAGAGAGAGATTTTTAGAGATCTTCTATGAGGATTTATGGATTATAAACCATCATATCTCATCAAATTTTATATTCTAAAGATTTAAAGAGATTTTTCCAATACATAGATTTTCAGGGCTTATCTGAATAAAATCAACCCGACTTTGTATATTTTTTTTAAATTTGTATAAAATTTAATATTTGTATTCTATATTTTTTTCTTTTTTTAATTTTTCTCTGTGCAATAATCGCATTTTTTGTGTGTTGAAACAAACGATTTGAACTCATCGCACCGCTCCACTTGTGATTTGAGTTTTGTTTCTCGGCCTGGCCCATTACCTAACGCATTTGATGCTCTCAAAGGTCACATTATTTACCTTTTATATTCCCATTCGTGTCAGTTACGGTGGGTGGTTATCTCGATGAGGAGGATGAGTACAGGCCGATGGTGTTTTCCTTTTTTTTTTTTTGGCTCATCGAAATGTTTGGTGAAAAATGCTTTTCACAGAATGAGAGAGAGAATTCGAAACTATGGGAACTTTCGTAATATTTCTGTTTTCATTTGGGACTTTCTGTTTTCGTTCTTTTAGCGCTTTTGGCCGCGTTTCAATCAATCTGCCAGGTGTGGGTGTGTTGTGTTGAAAGTACCAAACTTGCTGATGAACTCTGACGGCATTTTGGGGTTAAGTGTTTTCCCAGAGTTTTGAAGATGTGTGTGTGTGTGAGAATTATTTCCCTCGCCTTGGATGCTTTCCAATTATAGTATCGCTACGATATGATTTGGTCTTTTTCCTTCAGACTTTGAGGGATTATCTGACAGCTTATGGCAGCAATATCAATCAGTTTATTCACACATCTTTCAGCAGTTAGCTGGTATATTTCATTGCTGGCTCTCGACTCTCTGGGGAGGGTAGTGGCTGTCTCCTTTCACCTGGTTCACCTGGCCACCACTTGGCCC